TAACGTTCGGTAGTGGAATTGGTCCTTTGACTTGAGGTCGTCATGATACCTTATATGAAGACAGTCATACTTTGGCGGTGTTGAATGTTGCTCTGAAAGGGGCCGCTAATACGACATCGTTCGGGTGCGTCAAGAATCGTATGAAAATTGTGATTGATCAATAAAGGATTCGTCACTCTTAGATAGTAGGAGATTATGATCTGCGTTTCATTCAATTAAGTCGATAATGAAATCCTTGGCCAAGGTATACTCATAAGTCGAAAAGGAGTTTTCGATTCATATTGACTTAATTGTGGAATGAAAGATATGATCGATGATCGAGATTGACACAATTCCATATCTCGTAATTGATCGGATCGTATTGACGAAGGGATAATAGTTCCACAGTAAACGAACGATTTTGGTTTTGTCATACCACGTGACATTTTCCGTCACATGTATTGCCCTAACACATTGCTAAATGTCAATCAGGGACAGCGAATGTGAATTGACGGTAAATTAAAAGGGTGTATTAATTTATCAATTTTGATTAGATCAAAATAATATTTCACGACGTTAGACATCGTGGTCGGGAACCTAATGGGTCGCACACAAAAGAGAATTGGAAGACTGCAAATTGTCAATTGATTAATTTAACAATCGTTGGATAAATTAATTAATTGAATTTCTTATTTATAATCTCGAATTAATTAATTGGATTAATTAATTCACGGACCGGGTTTGATTAATTGGATTAATTAAATATTGGATCGGATCGGACCGGACCGGACCGGGTCCGTTTGGATTTATATATATATGCAGCTAGGGTTTGAGGTCCACAGGGTTATTCATTATTCTTGCTAGTACAAGAAAGAAACCCTAGCAGTTGGCGTCTTCTCTCTGTGTGGATTTCATTGGAGGCTGGATAATTGGACAGCTGTGGGAGGCAGATTCAAGCTGTTGGAAAGGAATAACGCGAAAGAGTTTGCAAATCACAAGTAAAGGTATATTTCTCATCACAGTTTTTATCTAAATACAAAGCTGAATCTTGAATGGGAATTGAAACTTGTTAAATTCCGCTGTGCATGTTTAAGTAAATTCCCAACAGGATCAACTTGCGGAAATGCTTAATCTAAAAATTGAAGAAAAAACAAATAAAGACGCAAGAGCTGGACGACTTCATGGAAGAATTAAAGGTAACGATGGCAAGAGCATTCTTGTAGTATTAGATGATGTGTGGGGAGAAATTGATTTGGGAACTATAGGAATTCCATCTCCAAGTGGTCAAGAAGGGTTGAAAATTATGTTTACGACGCGAAATGAAGGTACGTGTCGTAACATGGGGGCCCAAACGTTCATAATCGAAGTTTTGAGCTTAGAAGAAGGATGGAAACTTTTCAAGGATATGGCAAAGATTTCTGATAATGAAACTGATGAACTCGTAGACATAGCCAAAAAAGTTGCACAGGAATGTAAAGGTCTACCCATTGCACTAGTTGTTGTTGGCAAAGCACTGAAAAGCAACAAGTCCACACATAAATGGAGAGATGCACTTCGGCATCTACAAAGGTCTGGTGCTACCAATCTTGAAGGAATGGACAATGTCGTGTACCAAAGCATAAGATTGAGCTACAACTATCTGGTAAGTAATGAAGAGCGGGAATTGCTTTTGCTCTGTTCTCTATTCCCAGAAGATGAAAGTATTCCAATTGAAAATTTGGTTAGATATGCAAGGGGGTTAGAGTTGTTCAAAAAAACTGAGAAACTCTACGAAACTAGAGATCGAGCATATTCAATTGTCGATAATCTAAAAAGTTGTAATTTATTGCAACCGGATGAGAAGGAAGACGAGGTGAAATTGCACGATGTTATCAGAGATTTTTGCTTACTGATGGCGTCTGAAGACAAACGTGGATATCTTGCGACACATGCTGGTTTGATAGGGTGGCCAGAACATGATGCTGATGATTCGTACAGTGCCATCTCAATTACATTTGATAAGCTGGATCAGCTTCAAAGTGGGTTGAAATATCCGAATGTTAAGTTGTTACGAATGATATGTCGCGAGGGGGGAGAATGTAAAATTTCAGAAGAATTTTTCAAAGATATGAAAGAACTTAGAGTTCTTGAATTGAAATGGATGAACATTCAAATTCCATTATCAATCGAATTGTTGACGGGTCTTCGAACTCTGTCCTTGATTGAGTGTAAAATACATTCTTAAATCTCAATGATTGGGAGTCTAACGAAGTTGGAAATTCTCTCTTTCTATCATTCTTCTTTCGATGATTATTTTCCCATTGAGTTAGTGAATATTAGCAACCTAAGGTCCCTTGATTTGAGGTTGAAGTTATCCTGTCCACTTCGACCTGGTGTTTTATTGGGTATGAAGAAACTAGAAGAGCTGTACTTGGGAAAGAACATTCCAAGAGAAGGTGAAGACCAAAGGTACATAATTGAAGAATTAAGCTCATTAACTTCTCTTCGTACCTTCCAAATTTCCACACATATTCTGATTCTTATGCAAATATTAAAAACATCGTGCGTCGAGGAACTAGAAAAATTTCAAATCGTCGGAACGACGACATCACTACCCAGTCATGAAGATGAAGATGAAGATGCATATGAAGATGAAAATTTCACAAGGAACTTGAGACTCCAATGCGGTAATGAAGCAAGTATGCTTTTGCAACCTGAATTTCACATGTTGATGAAGAGGACTTACTATCTTCATATTGAAGAAGCCAATGTATTGAAGAATCTTGTGGGTGAGTTGGATGGAGATGGTTTCATTAACTTGAAGACACTGAGTCTATCAAGTGGTGATTTCGAGTATCTTATTGATGCCACCAACTCTATCCCTAATGACACCTTCAGTAAATTGGAGTCTCTCGAATTGACATATTTACCAAAATTAATAGAGATAAGCAATGGAAATCCTTCAAGGGGTGTCATCAAACCTCAATTGTTTTGTAACCTTATGACGTTTGTGATGCGTTCGTGTGACACAATTAGAAGCTTGTTTCCAAAGTCAATCGCAAAATGCTTGGTAAATCTCCAACATCTACGCATAGAGTATTGTCCGATGTTAGCGGAAGTTGTCTCGGCGGACGCACGAGAAAATGAAGTTACCAAAATTTGCGAAAGACTTGAGTTTCCAAAACTGAGAGATGTCAAACTGTCATCTTTGACACGATTTAAGAGCTTCACTTCTCAATCAAATAGTGGTTTTGATCATCAAACATTGCTCAACCAGGTATGGTATTCAACTTTCATTTTATTTGCATCAAATAGTCCTTATTTGTTATAAAGAGAGTTTAGTTCGTCTATATCAAATTTGAAGAATAAGACAAATTTTGGAAATTGGATATAATTTTTTTGACTATTATTTTAAAACTTCTATCCTACTCATAAATTACAAAGACATTTCTCTAAAAGATGACATAGAAGATATTAGGATATTAAAATTATAAGATATTCGAATTTTTTTTTTTATTTTATGTGTGCACATAGTTTTTTGAAATGTCACTATCGATCTACTACTACGAACAATACTACTACGAACAAACATAGCTCCTTCCTACATAGATGTGCGTATGCATGTTGAGTTAGGTAATTCAAAAATAAAAATAAAAAATGAAAAAAGATGTATCTATTATGTTTCAAGTTCAAACATAAAAATGGCATCCGACACCAATAATGGCATTGTGTTCAACAAAATGTCTTGAAAAATTAAAAATAGTAAAATCTTATTAGGAGAAAAAAAAGAGAGTAATATTTTGGTTGTCTAAAATATAAACCAATATATTTTTTCATATATAAAAAGTTCCAAAAAGCTAAATCAAGGGCATGAAAGGATGTGCTGCTGCGTGTTAGAGTATCTCCATTAGTGTGTAAATTGATATTTTAAAAATTATTTTTGTATCCTTATTTACATTTCGATGAATCTAAATACTGATTCTGTTTTAACGAAAAGATCTATGTAAATTTACTTTTTGCCTCTCATGGAAGTAAACATTTTCTGTTGAAAAATGTAATTTGCATCTCCTTTGCATATCTCCATGTAGAGGTTTTCGATCACATTAGAAATTTAAATCTCTATTTTACACCATCATTAGGGATGCTTTTAGTGCACATGCATTTTTCATTTTCATATATTATATAATTCTTGGAATTATTAATTAGAAAAACATAATTAAAGTAACTTGTGCAAGACTGACTTTATTCTAGGATCCTAAAAGAAGCCCACTTGACCAAATTGAGTGAAAGTTAAAATTATTATTGCATTCCACCCTTTTCAAATCCTTAAAGATAAATCTGTCTTTTAACCCTTTCACAAAAGAATTCAAATTCAAAAGAGGTAAATTCGAAGAAGTTTCAGGAAGGAGATTTCAATCGAAACCCTTGTAATAATTAGTATTACAGATTAAACATAAATACATAAAAATAATATTTAATTTATTATTGTTGTTGAAGAATTGAAGAATAATTATTTAAAATGAAGTGAATTCAATTTCTAAAACCATGACAAATTATGGCTTTCATGATTTCAATCAACTACATACAAATTACAAAAATGTATTGTAGAACTGTTGTCTTAATTATGAATTGAGATAATAGGAAATCTTGGTGATTTTCCTATCATTTTCCATATAAACTTAGAAACAAAAAGACACACGTAGATTTTGGAGCTAAAATTTCGAGGTAAAATTAGGTAATAATGAAAGGAGAAATTCAGATCTATTTTTATTGTGATGATTTAGTCAACAGCATAATGAATATGTCTTGTAATACAAATGAATAAATACAGTTTCTCTAGAATGACATAGCTTTTCACAATCCAGTTATATAGATAGCATAATGGATAAATTTTGGCTGACTACGACTAATTGAACTTCGCAGGTCAACTTTCCTAACGTGGAGTGCATGGATGTTAAGCGATTGGATTGTACAGTAAAGCTAATTGGTAAGGAAATGCAAACAACATCTCTGCGTAAACTAACAATTATTCAGGTGATGTTTTTGATGAATTTCTGGCCATTGCAGAATTTGATTCAATTCAGTCACTGCAAAATCTTGAATATCCTCGCGTGCTCGACTGTAAAGCACTTCAAGTATTGTTTGACTTTGAGGGTATGAAGGTCACTAATGACGATGCAGAAATTAATATGCTTGGTCGATTAGAAACATTGTTGCTGACCGATCTACCACAATTGGTGAACATTACAAGGATGGTTCCAGAAGGAATTCGCGTCTTCCAAAATTTAACAAATCTTGATGTTACTGGTTGTGAGAGCTTAAGATACTTATTTTCACCTTCTATAGTCAA